GAGAGAGAGAGAGAGAAAGGTTCAGATATGGCAGGAGATGTCCTCTTATGGTAACGTCTTCGCCTCTGCGGTTCTCAAGAGGAAAAACGAACAAGAGAAAAGAGTGCCGTAGAAGGATTCTCTTCTTTTTTCTATGTACATGTATTTTCTCTATCGTATCTTTTGTATTATAAAAGATGAAATGATGTAACGCAATGTTCTATCTTTTTTTTTGCTAAATTGCTGTATAAAAATATTAAAAATTAATGCCATTAGTTTATGAGATATACTTATAAACTCTCATTACAATTTATTATTTATATTTCTTCTTTCTAATGAGTGCAATAATAAATTATTATACTTGATAAGTAATACTTGAACCTTCTATAATAAAAAATTAATATTGGGATTAAGATTGAGATAAATTTAATTCGCGTGTAAAACTCACAATTAAGGATAGTTTGTGGAATTCAGAACAAATTTCTTTGAAGCTTCTTTACTTAAACGAGCGCAATTTAGAGCTCGTCACGAAAGAGCGAAAGGAGAATTCCTAGCAAGGCTAACCTGATTTTCTAAGACACCTATGTGAGAGAGAGAGAAGATGTGCAATGTCCGCATAACATCCCGGAAGCCACAGCTGGATGGATCGACGCTCATTAAAACCTGCAATTAACACAATCCTTCGAAACAGCGAAACAAATTTAGTCTTCGGTCAGTGGATCTAATTGATTTCACTCGCCAATTGGATATACCAATTTCAGGATGTATGCAAACTTAAATTTACGAAAATATACTTTTTTTAATTATCAAATTTCTTAATTATTCAATTATTTGTGTAAATCTCTAAACTTAAAAAATCCAATTAATATAATATAATATAGTAAAACTATTGATAAAACTATCCATTGGTATACAAAGTTAAAATGCAAAGCATGCTCGAGATTTTATTATATTAATTATATACGCTTATATATATAAAACAAACAAATTTAAATAATTCAATTTGATTGAATTAGAATGTGGGTTTTTCCATGATTAAGCAATTAAATAAAGTTATACAAGGCGCAGATGCGACTTCGCGTTTGGATTACAGCGTTATGAAGGAATTTAATTAATGTCACATTATCATGTAATCCTTTTACGAAATTTTCGGAAATCCAAAAGCTGGGTCGACGGCCCTTTTGTTTGAAGAGAAGAAAGAAAGAGTTTGCGCGGACTGGAAGCGTGGCGGATCAATTTCATGATTAGTACAGATTACCGTTCGCCTTGCGGACTTTAATTAAAACCATTGCTGAGAACGTGCTTCAATTTAGTCTGCATCACAGTGCGAATTTCTTGCCGAGGAAAATTATTTACGCCTCGTCCACCAACACTCGTTTTCGCCAAAATTGCTTAAGAACGAATCACAAAGTAGCGAATAAGCAGCTTTCGTCAGACCAAAATAGAATTAAAATTACGATTAACTCTGAAGATAAATAATAATTTAATAGTTAAATATAAATCTGAAATTTGTCTGAAATTTGTCTAAAGATAATCTGTAAAAATCTCTGTCTGATAAAAGTGATTTTTCAAAACTGTATGTTATGTAAAACTTTGAGATTTTAAAGTTGAGATTTTAAAGTCGACGTCAATTTAGTTACAAAATTAAAAGATGCCCAAGTGCAATCTCATCGAAATTCCGAGTCACCCAGTGTAATGCCAAGTAGAGGCCAAACAAGCTGCTTAATGGTTACAACGACCGACAGAATTCGCGGAATGTATAACGGGAGCATGATAATCTGTGACGAAAAATGAACGGTCCACCAACAAGTCCTTTGAAAAGCCAGACGATCTCATAATAATCACTCATAGACAAATTTTTTAACAAATTGTACACTTTAATTTGAAATTAATCCTAGAAGTGCGAGGATCAGTTCAAAAAAAAAACATAACTCATAATTTAATAATTTTCACAGTCGCAAATTCTTAGATCTCAAAGTTCTGTGTGAATTTCGTAAAATTTAAACCGCAAGAATTTGAATTCTGCAATTCTTCGGCATCAAATCAGGTTCATCGGAATTTCGAAACATCCGGCCGGAGATTCTTAGATCTTTAGTCTCACACTCCCATTTTTGTTCAAATTTCAAGAGAAAGAGAGACGGAGAACTTAATCTCCGATTTATCAGTATTAAGATTCGACACGAATCTAAGGCATCTAAGGAAATTGAGTAATTTCAACTGCGGATGATCTTTTTTCCCGCGTTACAGGCGTACATCGCGACAAAAGAAAAAAGAAATAGAAATGATGATATTCCGGCTCGGACTCACGTAATAATCACTCGAGGACTGGCCGGGCCTTCCGAAACGAGTCGCCGCCGCGTTACCGTGTCGTATCGAGCTCGCGCGTGCTCTCGAATCGAAGCTCACCTTGGGCCTCATTTCGAGAGCCGGCACATACGATCGAGCGACGCGACTCGCGGTAAAAATCCGCACGCCGTTGAGAACAGCACCGTGCGCAATAAGCAACGATAACGATAACGATCGCAGATACCGCATTTCGCCGCTGCAATGCGCCGCAAGTCGCGGACTGCAATGAATGCGACACACGTGTCATCCAGCCTGACTGACCTTCGACTTTCCGTGAACTAGATCTGCATGCGTATGCGAAATCATTAAGACTAAGATTATTATTATTATTATTACAACCGACATTTATTATTTAGCTTGGAGCGTTTTAATAATTCTGTTATAAAATTGCCAAGTAAAAATCTCTGTATCCGATAAAAATGACTTTTCAAAACTGTATGTTATGTAAAACTCTGAGATTTTAAAGTTGACAGCGTTGACGTAGACGTCAATTTAATTACAAAATTAAAAGGTGCCCAAGTGCAATCTCATCGAAATTCCGGTAATTGTAACTAAAATAATTTATAAAAATTTTTATAGAGTCCTTTTTTCCTGATAAGAACGCAATTATCTCTTTTCAAGATATCTCACAAGATATCTCGCAACTTCGAATCGAAGCGTTCCTTTCGCGTTAATGCGAAAATCTACTTGACGTATTTGCTTACTTTCGTATGCAAAAGTATGAGACGAGAAATTGCGCGAGATTCATGGAGATTCCGCGTCAAGATTCGCGATCACATCGCACGTCTGATTCTCCATTTTCGGTACCGTTAGAAGGCTACTCCTGTACCCATGCCCTTCTATCTCGGCCTTTTGCCGTAATTTGATCGGACGTGCGTTGAAATTCGCAAGAGCGGATGACTCGATTCTTCGGCGAAAAACTGACTCCCTGTGGTTCACCAGAACTCGTTGAAATCAACGTACGTCTAGAATCGTAACGACCTCTCGGTCGTCCAGGAAGGAAGAAGTCGAAGGACGAAGGAGCGAGGATAAAAAGGTTGGACGTTGTCGAGATCATAAAGATCTCGAATAATTTAAAATCTAAATTGTTCACGATTCTCGAAACAATTATAAAGTAAATCCATCATAAAGTAAAATTGCAAAATTGATGCTTTTTATACGAGACATAAACGTTAATGTATTCATTTTTATATTATTTATTTTAATCTCAAATTGTATATCTAATTGTAAAAAAAATCGATTAATTTATATGAATTACAAAACTATTTTTCATTGCAAATTGGTAATTACCAAATTTTTGAAAGGCTAAGTGGAACGTATGGGAAAACTGGTAGCTACGCAATACGTGTGTGTGTACAAAAATTTGGCGATGGAATTCATTTTACCTTTAATCGCATTCGTTTTGTATAGTCAATCTGATG